TTTCTTTTTAATCTTCACAGTAATATTTGGTGTATTTGTATGGTGAGGGATGTTTCCTCTGATTATTTGGGTAATCATTTTGCTGTTGCAATTTGATCTTGGCTACTCGTTTAAATGCAGACTGGAAAATAATAATTTGTTTAGTCAGTATGTTTTTACTCTGAATGTAAGTGAAAAACATGCTGTCTCATGAGAGAAGTTGATTAAACCATTTAATGTCTATTACTGTAGAAGTCAAAAGTTCTTGGATGATTATCAGACGTTTATATTTCACTGTTTTGGTAGTACATTACTGTAGCAAGTTTTATTTCAGACTTTGACAATACAGAGAATAGTGAATTATATGAAATGTGTTTAAAATGGGGATCTATGTCTAGATAAGCAAATAAAAGGACTGTAATTCAAACATAATCTCATGATATTTCAGTCTATTGGTAACTTCGTTCTCATTTTCTCTTGGTTTATATGTATTTTATAATTAGTCTAATCTTCCCCAAACTGTCATCATAAGTACACCTAGAAACTTAAAGTTGTGAAGTGCTATCTCATCCCAATGAAAGTTAGGTTCTTAAATGTCTAGGCAGCTCATGTGTTAACATCAGGAGTTAACCCATGGTTTCATACTTTTTTGTGTGCATAGCACGAGCTAGGAGTGTGCTTTTGCTTGGTGAAATTCTGTTTAGATCTCAACTAGAATTGGCAAATGCACGATGCGAGACTGTGACTTAGTTTGAGAACAGAATATTGTAACTTTAAGCCTAGAGATTCCAGGTCTAACAGCCTTAATGTCTCATGTTCTGCCCCATTATCTCAAATGAATAAGGTTAGAAAACCGTTTAAAATTATTATTTTAAGCGCTTTTTTTGAGAAGCTTTTTAGTAAATTATTTTTATATTTGATTTTAACATTGAGTGCCTGTGTTCCCAACCATAACTTTTCAGTTCTATGCTTTAGTATCAATTTAAGCTTGCTGCTTGTTTGGTATTTAAGGAATCTTAACAATCAGTCTGTATGTAAAAATATTTTAGTATATTAAATTATTACTGTTACTAGTAACTAAATTTCTCCTTCATTATTATCCTTCCTGCATGTTCTAAAAACCTTAGAGCCATAGTAGGGAAAAAGTATTCTAGTCTTTTAGAAATTAATGTGAGAAATCTCTTATTCCCTGTATTTTGTTTGCTTTGGGAAAGATGTGAACACTCTGGAAATGAAATTCAGTAATGTTAGTTCAGACTGCTGAACTTTGAATCAATATGCACAGGATTTAATGCAGTTGAAACAGTTTATTTTAAAGACACACACACATGGTGCTTAATGTATATTTATTTGTTTATTTATTTTTCCTAGAGGTACAGCAAACCAGGGAGTGAATGTAAGCACGAGAAGTGCTTTTTAGACATGGTCATGTGAAAATCCTGGAGTACAGCCTGTGTGTCAGGCTGAGACAGTCACATAGCTGTTGTGCTCGGGTTCCTCTCTCGCAAAAGTGACATGGGCTACATGTCTACGTCCTTTTCAAGCCACATGGGCAAAGCAAGCTTTACCATCTGAAAGTCTTCCAAGAAGGATGCAAATGTACCGTTGGAGAAATGAATAGTTTGTGTTTATATTTTTCTATAAATGTGGTGCAAAACTGACCCATAAGGTGCTTTTCATCCCGAGATATAATTCATATTATTGGTCTTTAATGTATACCCTGTCAAAAACCATTCTGAAAGCATCAGAACAACTAGCTGTATTTATATATAAGCAATCACACAAAACAGTGTGTAGAATATTTGTTGAGAGAAAATAGGTGGAGTGTACAGTAGAGGTGGCCCCCATTCTCCTAACAAATATACAAAAAGCACTGTGCAGTGTCCTTTTCTTCAGGGATGAATAAGCAGAAGATTCCTGTGGAAGATGCCTCATATTTTTTGCAAACTTTTGAGTTTATCACATACAACCTTAACAAAAATTCTGCTTTTTCAAAGTCGAACTCTTAAAATCTTACTGTATCACATGTAAAAAAAACCAAAACATTGTGCAGCGGATGTTGTTTCTGGCATTGTTCTTAAAGGGCATAGCTTAAGCTCAGTGCTTCAGCAGTTGTTCTCAAGATGGCTGCTTTCCTAGGCAGCAGATACAGCTTTGCTTCTGAATCTGGCTTAAACCAGAGGGAGTCCCCAGAAAGGACTTGCTTGAACATCAATGAGTGGCACAAATGTTGGGAGAGAAGTATATGGGATGCTGGAGGGGACCTTTTTCATGGTACCTAGCCACTAGATGGGCTTAACTATAATATCAAACTGCACCCGAATTTTGACACCAGCATAGGTTCAGTTTTTAACTTTGTGAGTTGACTTATTTGACAAACAGCTGTATGTGGACTTTGTGTAAGGTTCAATAGACAGCTATAAGAGGAGTTAGTTTCTTAGGTCAGCTAGGTGTTATGCCATTATGATACTTGACAATTTTGATTTACTGTAGTAGGAACATTGGGATCTTAATACCGTGCAGTAGAGCATTTGAATCATTCTTGTGACTCTTGGTGGTTTTGTAATTTCTTTAGATATGCAAGGCTGAATCCTGACTCGGGAGGATTGCTAATCCTTCAATTCGTTGCTTTTGCTTACTTGTAGTAGTATTCTCTTACTCTAAACTACTATGTTTTTACTTGCCTAATGTATGTGCTTCTTAATAGCCTTGTGTATTTCCTTATTTCTGCCATAGTTAGTTTGTTTAGTGCCTCCCCGCAGTCTTACTCTGAATTGTGCTAAAGAGCAAAGAACGCTTGTTGCTACTTAAAATACATAATAGTATTTGGTGTTCAGTGTAGCTTTATTGAATGCACATTTTGCTTTTATGGTGGAGCTGTGCTGTAGTTTCATACATATTGCTGTTCACTGCAGTGTAAAGAGAAGGAGGATTTGTGTTTTGGTATTTTTTGCTGTTGTCGGGTTTGGGGTTTTGTTAGTTTGTTTCTAAGCATAATCTTAATTCCCCCTTGCAAAGTTTTTCCAAGGAAGTAGTCAGCTTCATACAGTCGATGTAATCTCTCGAATTGATACAGTGCTGGAGAAGAGCAGCTACTTGCTGCCAGATTTTAACAGAATCTTCCAAGCTGAAATAATCATTTAAAGGAGAGGGGAATGTTTGGCTGTGAGTTACAGCTGATGTTTGCCTCTGATTTAAGAAAAGTTATTTACTGTTCTCTATGTGTAGAACAGTTTGAAGCCACACACATCATCTATGATGCTATATAAATTTTTTTAATTATTATTATGGTCCAGTTAAATTGAATTCTAGAAAACCTGCAGATATATCTATATCTATCTATATACATATATTTGGTAAGCAAACTGAAAAGCAAGTGAAAAATTTTGAATTGTTACAGCCTGATTCTCCAACCAGGTCTGTGCACATCTGCCTGTGCTTAGTTCTTTTGTGGGGAAACCTGTACAGAAATAGAAGTTCCTCTGTCTGATTTGCTGGTATATATATGAGATTCTTGCTTTGGGACTACAATAACTTCAGTTCCTATCCAGGAAAAAATTATTTCTAACTTAATGCAGCTCTGAAAGGGCCTGCCTGGGGAACTTCCAGGATCTGTATCTTTGGTTTTGACTCTAGGGATAGCAGGTTAGGTATAACTGAACCTCTAGGTAGCAAGCATGATAACTTAGAGCTAGTTGGGAGTCCATGACATTTCTAGACAGTAGTGTATATCAGGGATCATGTCTGGACGTAAGGGTTGTTTCTAGCATTGGGAAGCTAGTTTCTATTTGGAAGCTTCTAGAAGTCCTGAATCAAGTCTTCTAGACCTGATATTCTGTCTTGAAGATGCATGCCTGATAATTGCAAGAAACTACTGATAGTAAGTTAAATGCATACATCTATTTGTCTTTCAGGTGTCCTGTGCATATTTAAAAATCTGTATGTAATCAGCTACAGTGTGCCTATAAGGTAGAAATTTGTTTTTCAAAACCTTCATAAATATTGCCAGGAAAAGAAGAGGATTTGACTTTAATTCAGGAATGTATTATTTAAGATTTCTGCAAGGCATTGCATATTAAGAAAAAAACCCCAAACAGTTGATTTTAAAAAATTCATATACCACGTTGATTTGTGTATACCAACTTGTGATAAAAGTGTTCACTTGCACTATAGCCTGAAAAGGATGGGTACCTGCTGTTATGTTAGCATATCTCTAATTAGTATGGAGAAGGGAAGGGAAGGAAAAAAAGGAACCTTGTAGTAATTCAGTAATTTGGAAAAGTAATTAATTGAATAAGCAGCATGGAACGGGATACACCCATTGTTTGTGTACTTCGGTTTCCTATTAGAGGCCTCCAGATACTGAAATGCTCTAAATTACCTAGAGGCACCTCATTTGAGTGTTGTTTACCTCATGCTCAGTGTGAAGGGATCCTGCAGTGAAAGTTGAACTTCAGTGTAATGCATGATTTTTGCAATGACATTGAAATTTTGGCTCTGTAAGGAATATGTATTAAGAACAGTGATAGTAAGGGTCTTTAATATATTACATACAAGAGGTCCGTGTTCTCCAAAGTCAGGATATTGATTCAGCTCACATTTTATTGTGTGTATTACTCCTTTTTTTTTTTTCTTTTTTCATTCTGCATTTCTGCATTTCTGCATTTTTCTGCACTGTTCTTTGTGAGAAATAGTGCTTTGGTTTTCATTTCCAGTGTGCTTGTAGTACCACTGATACATAGGGTTTTTCCACATAGGTGACAAAGCCTTTCTTGTTGGATGAAGGCAACCCCTCTCTTCATCCCTCTGCTGAAGCAACAAGTCATTTATTTATTTGTTTGTCTATCTATGTATTTATTTATTAATGGAAAATTGCTTTGTTATGGAAGGACCCAAATATGCTTCAGTGGATTTGCTAAACTTCAACTTCTAAGGTCAAAAAATATATACATTCCTGTTTGCTTTGCTTAACTGTATTTTTCCCTATTTTTTGATCATCAGAGTTTCTTTTCACCTTTCAGAAAACAGGGCAGTACTTGAAGGCTTGACAAATGCATCCCAGGTTGAAAAACTGCTGTATTCCTTCTCCTCTTCCTCCTTTAGAAAACTGACTTTTTTAAAGAGGTAAAGTTGAATGTTGCAATTTTAATTTTATTTTATTAATTTTATTTTAAAAACTGATATCTTTTAGGATATTTAAACATGTTTATAGAAATCTGAGGCAGTTCCTTACCCACAGGAGTTTGTATTCTCTGAATGACTTGCTGCCAAGGGCCATACTAAATGCTAAATGTAGCCCTGTTCATACAAAGTTGCTAGCATTGAACGCACAACTTCCCAACAAAATTTCTATATCCTATTTAACTTCATTTTTCATTTATTAAATACTTTCAGAATTCAAAACAAGTATGTTCTGAGACCAACCAGGCGATTCCAGTCATGTAGTATGGCTATCTAAAGGACATTTTTTGTAGGATTTCCATGATGTAACTTGTGTATCAAACCCATAACTTTTGGTTGAGACTAAATAATTTTCAAAATGTATCTGCAGAAAAATTGTAAAAAGTAAATAATTCACTGTATGTTCACCTGCCTTTTTCTTACGAATTTTACAACCAATTCTGCAAATAGTAGCACTTAGTATATTCTTGACAACACTTGTATGAAGTTGATAAGCATTAGTGTTTATGGGATTAAAGATGATTGTAGCAGTCTTCGTCTTGTTATCACCTGGTTGTGGAACTGTTTCACTTTTTTTGTTTCCCATCCTAGGCTAAAAGAACTTCAGAAAAAATTGACTGTATTGAAGGAAAAATATATTAAAAAAAAAAAAAAAAGGGGAGGGGTTTGAAACTGAGGGGTATTTGTAGTTTTTAGGGAAAATCTGGTAAAGATGTATATGGCAGTGTCTGACAGCTTTGTTGCATGTAATTATTGCGTAGCAATATGAACTTTTAAACAAACAACAGTGAACTACAATATTTCTTAAAATAGAGTGTCCCTTCACAGATTTTCCGTTTCTTGTTTCTGTTCAGGCAGCTGTTAACCAGCAGGCCCTGTCAAAAATAAACTTTTGATGAAACCTTAACTAAGAATCGCTTTCTTCGTATGTCTAGTATGGCTTCAAACAGCTCTTGTATTCTACAGTCTCCTCATTTTGTCCCTTTTCAGGTCACTATTCTTAGGTTTTAGTCTCTAGTATTAGTCTACAGCTTCATTTCACTTCATTATATTAAAATTTTCTGGAACCTTAATGACTCCCAGGAATTGCCAACCTGTACTGAGATCACGCAGAAAGACAAAAAGATCCTTTTGCTTAGACCTATTTAAACATCAAGCAAAGCAAAGATGTCTAATGATGCCTTGTGTTTTAAACATTGTTGCTATTGCCTTGAGAATTAAATTGATGAGAATTCAAAAGATGTTAGAATATGACTGTTGTAAATAAAATGGAAAATAACAACAACAGTTGTCCTTGCCAGTTTTCCTTTTTTTTCTTTCTGAGAATTCCAGTGTACTTTTAGAAGAACTAAATCTTGCTGTTTGAATGAGAAGCCTCAAAACTCTTTAAGAACAAAGTTTAAGGAGTGAAGTTCTGCTACTAGGATTTCTAATAACTGGTTTTATGAAACTTTATGCTTTACTTCGAGCTGTATCTAGAACTGTCATTACAGTATCTCACATGATTTGTTCCATGGTGCTCTTTACTTTGTTCCACTCATCTTTTCTTTGTATTATATTCAGTAAGGGAGCAAGAATGGGATCATTTGTCTGTCTTAAATAATGTACATTTTGGCCTGAAGCACCGAATCCTTCTTTTTCTTCCTCCCCCATTAATGTGCAGTACTTTTGACTAGAAGTCTGAAGAGAACAGTGTAGTCATTGCTATAAAAGGAGACCAGTTGTCCAAAATGCAACTTTTCCTATTTTTGGTATTATGTAATTCCATTGGAAATACGTTAACAGGGTGTAGGATTGGGGTAGGATTTTACAAAACCATTTTGCTGCCAGAACTCTTATTTACTTTCTTTTTCCTTTATCTTCTAAAGGTAAGAGAGAAGCAAAAGTAGTAAGAAAATGCTGGGATCAGAACGAGGTGTCGTGGAAGAATGGCTGTCAGAATTCAAGGTGAGCTGAGAAGATGAATGATAGCTATATCATTGCGTTTATGCCACAGAACACTGATGTTTATTTTTTTTTAAATATCCAATAATTAACATTTAAGATATCTGTTTCTTGATCTTTCAACTTCTTGTAACGCATAAAGCATACAAAGGGCTATGTAAATGAGTAAGCTGCTACATAATATACAGTGCATAGGCATAATAGTAATTTATTATTGTAGAGCAAAACACTACTATAGCGATGTGTTTTTTTTTTTAAAGCATATATTTCTATGTAGATCAGGATGATAGAATTTAACAGCTAGATAATGCTGCCTGAATTTCTAATTGAGCAACTTTTTTATTTTTAAAAAGCTAGTAGAACTGTTTGGAATTTTAAAAAAATATTTAAAATATTTCGCTGTTTTTTTCCTATGGTCTGTTTAAAATGAATTTTTTTTTTCATGAAGAACCTGAAGTATCTTTAATCTATTTTGCATGTTGATAATTATGCTGCTGAGTGAAATACATGGTAATGCCCAAAGGATGAGCCAAGGATGCAAAATCCACAGATGTGGTTGCTTGGTGGGACTCGAGGCTATTCACATTCATTCTAGGTCATCCATACGTCTTAAATAATTCATGTTCACAGAATCACAGAATGGTAGGGATTGGAAGGGACCTTCAGAAATCATCTAGTCCAACCCCCTGCTGAAGCAGGGTCACCCAGAGCAGGCTGGACAGGGACACATCCAGGCGGGTTTTGAGTATCTCCAGAGGAGACTCCACAACCTCTCTGGGCAGCCTGTTCCAGTGCTCTGGCACCCTCAAAGTAAAGAAGTTTTTTCCCTCATTGATTAGATGAAGACTTTGAAAAGTGCCTATTAAATACAGAATATCAAAAGACAGAGTCATCATATCAGGCTGGAGCAAATGATTTTATAGAAGACAAATCTGAAACTGCTTTTGGATTTAACCCATAAAGCCGGTATGTGCCCAAAAATACTATTCATATAGAGAAGGATTGCTACTGAATGAACTAGGTTACAAATCTGAAAAAATTACTGAACTTCAGGAATTTTTCTTGATGTTGGGATGAGACTGAATCCTTTTGTGGAGATCTTTAATACTTGGAAGTATTGATTTAGCAGGGTAACACTTTTTTTTTTCCCCTTTTTTTCTTTAGGCATTACCTGAAACACAAATTTCCAGCTATGCAGCTACATTGCACCGAAAAAAAACACTGGTACCAGCTCTTTATAAGGTCATTCAAGACCCAAATAATGAGGTAGGAGACTTGAAAATTCATTCACGTTCTTATATATTCCACCTCTGAAGCTACAGTAATTGAGAAGGGGAGTTGGAGAGGAAGATTCTTCAGTTCTTCTTTCTAATGTAGTCTAACACGAGTATTATCCCTCCTTTTACTCTCTTGTTTTTTGATGGTTACTTTAATGCCTTTCTGGCAAGACACAACCTCATCGACTCCCAAAAATGCAGTTTATGCTGTCTGATAGATTTTACTTGCCACAGCTGACACTTCACTTGATTTGGCATGAGGGTTCTTCTCCCCGCCTCCCCAAAACAACCTTCTGGTCAGAACAGAGACAAAGTAAGCCTTACAGTGAAACTTAGTAAGACCAATGTGCTTCTCACCTGGTGACTTATTACAGTGGAAGATGGAATCAATTTACTAGATCCTATTAAAATAACCAGATCTTCTTTTGCTTATAGTAGTATCGTGTTCGTGTAATTTGGCTTACAGTGTTGTAAATGAGCAGAACCAGGGCCCCAAAATATAAATATGTACAATGAAAACACAGTTTACCTTTGTACATAATTCATTTTGCAAATGACGTTAAGCTGAGCTTCCTATTCCATTGGCTTCTGCTATGAGAATTTCTGGGAAAGTGTGTGAAATGTAACTTCTGCATAAATTGTGCAAGCATACCATTCTCTGCTGTGTAAACTACTTTAGACAAAATCCTTCAAAATATTTGACTCATCATCTGTGATCTCTTCTATATTTATAAATTGAATGGCAAGTGTACACAGCAAGGAAGTTCTTTATTTTCCAAAGCACAGCTCAGCTGCTTTTGGAAGCTGAATGCCTGATTGAGCTTAAAGGAGATTGCATAATGCTTGTGCAAAAAAAAAATAAAAATTGTCATAGCTGTCAGCTTCATTTCAGTGTTACAGATAACTTGCATAGTGACCTTTTGCTTTATACTGAAGCTACTGTTACACTCTCTCCAACCTGAAGCTACCATTGCTGCTGTTGTCTTTTAGTATATATGTATTTATGTGTATGTGTGTATGTCTGTAAATGTAAAAGCTTTTCTTTGCTTTAAGAATAAGCATTTGATTTTTTTTTTTTTTAAATGATACATAGAACCAGATTTGCAAAAGGAGTATCTTCTTAAGGATAAATGACAGTAATCTTATGTTATTGCACATTGATGCTTGTCAAATATTACTCTTTGGAACTGCTATTGCTGTTTGAGCCTGATTCTGATATCAGGTATAAGATAAGCAACCCCACACTCAAAGATGACTAACTTCAGGTTCTGCTTGTTAAGGCAGCACGTATTTCCTTGTTGCACTTCTTCCAAGCTTATTTGCGTGGGAGGTGTATAACCATAGTAAATTCATTACTTTACATAATTCTGTGGTAATATTTGACTACAAGTGAGGGGTTTTTAAAATATGCTTTATAGGGTGTTATTTGTTAGAAGGATAACTGATTGCTTGTGAAGATAAAGCTTATATTATAAAATTGTTTATAAAGCAATTTTAAGACTATTATAAAATATATAGACTATAAGACTATTATAAAAATGCATGTGCTGGATTCTTAAACTTGATGGACAAGTAATTTTTTTAGTACAACTTAATAATAAAGTTGACCTATTTTTAAAACTTCCTGAAAGGGGCAAACTGTTTAGGTCAAAAATTATTTTTCTATAATAACATAATTCTATCTTGATAAAATCAGGATTATTAATTTAACATGGAATCAGTATGTTTAGAAACCAAAACAAAAAACCAAGGTGTTACCCTTTGTTGACTGCCATTTACTAGTTTGAGAGCTGTCAAATGAAGGCAAGCATACTGTCAAGTTAAATACAATTGTTGGTGTTTGCCTCTTAGGAAATTCCATGACTTTTTATAATATGGAGAAGGCAATGACTGGAACAGAAAGTTACATAAAGAGTAGAAAGTGATCTTTCTCATAAACAGCTTGTTTAACTGAATAATGTATTGATTTTTGCATAGTATTTGAATTCTAAAGTAAAGTGCTTTTGAAGTACTGTTTTTTTTAGATAGCTTTATAATTTTTGGAGCTCATTTATGTTTGTAGATATAAATGCTCTATGGACTTTAAGTTAATGCAGTACTGAAATTTAAACATGGAATGCTCATGGCGATTTGTTGTGTGGGTGTTTATTTTTGTCAAAATTAGGTTGACGGTTGGTCTTTAAGGTCCCTTCCAACCTAGAAGATTCTGTGAAAATGAGATCACCTTTGCAATGCCAAGCACTTCCCAGACCCAGTACTCTTGAAATAATAACTAATTTCACCCATTGTGTTGCAGTTAGGCACATGATTTTTTTACCACAATTGAATTCTTCAAAAAGGCGAGAATTTCCAAAATTACACATTTTGTAATATATTATATTTAACTTCACAGTATGGCTCTTAAGATTTGGCAAACTTGTAAAATAAAGCAAACTAAAGCTATTCATCAGCTTCCTGAAAACATGACTAGTCTACATCTCTGTGAGGTGTAAAAATGAAGTCTGCAAATTTCATTGTTATTACTTACTTAGTTTAGCCAGTAAACAATTTGTAGGTTTTTTGTTATGCTAATTGCTGCTTATGCTAATAAGTAAGCTCTTTTAATAAAAGTTTTTAGTTTGTCAGAAAAGAGATACGGTTATAAGAGATTTTTTACTTTGGATTTTTTGGCTGACTACTCTGCTACTCATTTTCTTTTGCCTTGGGACTGAAAGATCTGTGGAATGAAAAAAGTGTGTAGCAGTTCATATATACACCAGCTACAGGTGACAAAAGCTCCATTTCCTGTGTTTACCCAGTGTCTTCTCAATATTTATATTCAGAGAATTAATTGGAAGAGGCTGGCTCTCTGAAAAGCCAGATAACTAGGATGCAAAGAAAACACTTATTCTTTCTTAGAGTGTCAAGTTTTGTGTTTCCAGGTGGGAGACGATCATACCATACTTTGATAGGAAAAACTTGAGTGCTCGTGCCTTTGGAAATACTTGTGTTAGAGCATCTTTGTGATGCCAGCTTTTTCTTGTGGACTTAAAGCTGTGAAAACACCAAAAGTGCTATAGTAGTTGCTACAAACAACTTCCAGGTTTTCATCTAAGTAATTTGCAGTTGTTAAAACCTTTTGCACCAGTAACATGACGACTACTAGAAATGAGGATTATTTACATACTTGCAGCACCAGCAACTGGATATTGCTCGTGTCTTCCTAGGGACCATGGTTTCACTTAGAAGACTAATTTTATAAAATTTTCATTAGAAAGTAAGTAGAATAAACTCAGTAACTGGTTGAGTCTCATCTGACTTGAGTTCAAGTAAATTATTCTTTTCCACTGTTTTTAATGGACGTGGATTAGACTGGCTAATTTCAAATAGGAAACAGCTTTGGGCTGCTGTCACCTCTAATTTAATAGAAGTAGTATTTATAGCAATGCTGCTGTATATATCTGGTTTCTGATAGTATTTGTTTAGCTTTTCTTGTACCTGTTAGCTCCTTGCAGATATGCTTGTATTTATTGTTTCCAGACATTTCTTCTTTGTGCTAGCTTCTTGCTTGTATTTCCTTTTAAAGAAAACTTACAAATTTATTCAGTGATCTCTGAATTTTTTATTAACCTTTTTTTTTTATTTGAACATCTGAAATGTACTAAGCCTTTCATATAACAAGGATACAGTTCTGTCTCTGAGGATTTAAACATTTACTGTAACAGATGGTTTTAATAATTAGTGTCACTTTTAGATAGGGGTTTCTACTAAGTAAATATTAATTAAGAAAGAATGTACTGAAGTATCTTTTGAACATAAAGTGCTATACATGTATGAAATACTGGAATAAATATATTAGATAAAATAATATATTCTCGACTTGATAGAGAAAGCTGTAGCATTGTTTTATTAAAATTATTGCAATAGAAGCTGTATGGGTTTCTAATTTAATTTAGGTCCCAAAACAAAAATTAAGTGGTGAAGTATTTTACGTATATGGCTTGTAAAATTCTCTGTGCTCCAAATTACTAGACTTCTCTCATTCCGTATCGTCATCAGTGTCAGGTTTCTCCCCTCCCTCTCTTGTGAAGTCTGTCTTTGCTTCTGTTGTAAAACCAGGCTTTTAGCTTATAGTAACTAGGCTGTCAATCAGAAGCCTTGTTACACAAGGTACTTGTACCAGAACCTTGTATAAGAAGAGATTTGTCTGATAGCAAAGTTTTATTTTACATAGATGTCATGTTATGGCTTATATAATCAGTGGTTTGAAAATGGTATGCTTCATTGACCAGAATACCGTGTGTTAGAAATGAAACTGATGTGCTCACCCTTTTTCAGGTGATGCTTTCTTAAGGCAGCTATCTTGATAGAAAATTCTGTCAAATTTGTGTTTTGTGCTTGTGATATACTAGAGTAAAATATCTAGGTCTAAATATGTGCATGTGAAGTTGTACAGTCATACAGATATGTGGCATTGCGCATTTATCAAGCATCCAAATTAATAACTTGTAGAAATGTCTGTCCCTCTGCTGATAGCAAAGGACTTCTTCAAAGTGTTTTAAGAGGATGGATGGTTCACAACAAACCACGGAAGTACATCTTCATACAGCATAGCAAAAGAGTGACAGTAAATTTTACAGGAAATTCTGAGTACTAAGATTTTGATGAATAGACAAATTAATGAAAGAAGAATACATCAAAGTCTATGAAATGTACTGCTAATGCTCTGAAAGTCCTGAGCTGCATATCCCTGGGAGTGAGTCTGTGTACTGAAAGAGGAGTCAAATATGCCTTCTATGATCTTCTGCTCTGCACTGGGTATTTCCTATTTACACCTTTTGTCTCAGCAGTACAGCTGCTATTGTCTTGGTCAAATGTAGGGTTTTTAATGTTCTAAAAAATGATATGTATAATTTAATGTTTAATATTACTGTGTTTGCATATGAAAGCTGCACAAAGCATGTTTGGTTAGTGAGGAGACTTATTTGAGATTCTGGTCTCTATTTTCTGACTTTCTAACTCTTCTATATGACTATAAATGCTTTAGGTTACATGTGTATCTCTGTCTTTTTGGATGTTGAATCCCATAAGTATTTTCCTTAGGTCAGACCATCCCATTTCTTAGCATGTAGTACTAGATACTGGTCACAGACCTTATCAAAATTATCTTGGGGTTGGGTTGGGTTTTTTTGGTAGTTTTTGTCTGGTATTTAAAAACTTGATTAGTCATGGGAAAGGGGCAGAGAGTTTGATGTTGTTCTTTTTTTTCTGTTCATTAACAGTTCTGTGGATGTGTCTCAACTATTGGTTTGGCATTGTAGGCTCTTAAAATGGCAAGATTTTTCTTGTGCTTATATGGCACTGACTTGATAAGGGCCTTTTATGATTCTTGTACTGAAACCCAAAGGGCAGCTCAAGATGGAAAAGTCAGCTGGTATTGTAATGAACAAGTGCACGCTTGTTGGGTGTAGGCATTAAATTAATTCATATTTCTGTCAATAGACATGCCATGAGCAGCTAATCTTTAACCTTTGTACTTTTATAAACCTAACAACTGCATCGGTGAAGTTTTACGGTGCACATAGTTCAGGCCACGTGTCTGTCACATACCTTAAATTAGTGTCTGTACACAAAATATATCTTGTATTGACAGCCCTAGATGTTCTCAAAGCACAGGCTGTAGTGACTGTAGTAGGGTCACATTTCCCAATACTGCATACCAGTACCCCTCAGGTCTGTCCTTATAGATGCCTTTAAAAGGAATGCAGATATCATTTTGGTTCATTTACTTACTTGCTGTCAAGGAATGTAATTTTTACCGGCTGCAGTGGCTGTATGATATAGCCCCTATATTTGCTATTTCATTCTCACTTAGAGAAGCCTAACAGCAATTCATTTTTGCCTTTCCACAGCTCCTGGAGCCTGTTTGCCATCAGCTCTTTGAACTTTATCGTAGTTCTGAAGTTCGACTCAAGAGATTCACCCTGCAATTTTTACCAGAGTTGATCTGGGTATATCTGCGACTTACTGCCAGCAGGGACAGGCAAAGTAATGGTTGCATTGAAGCATTGCTGCTTGGCATTTACAACTTGGTAAGTCAGATGAGTGGGAATGGCTTAGGAAAGCCTTGATCTGAGGTTTTGTGTCACTGACCACTAGGAATAAAGTAAATTATTGGAACAGCATATTTAAAATTATAGTACACTTACAAGAAAGCATATTTAATCTGGAGAAAAGTAATGTAATGAAGGTTTAGTAAGAATACGTTTGCAAAAATAATTTTTATTTTTTATAGTAATCTTTTTGGGACAAACATTTTAACTAAAAAGGATCGTTTCATGGGCTTTCTTGAATTGTTATATACTGATGTTTTTAAGGAAATGAAGTAGCCCTCCTTAATGTTGAAAAATACAACTATGGGGATGATTGTTAGACCAATAGGCTTGGTGAATCTTCTGAATATGTCATTTCCTCCTGCCCCCTGCTTACTCTGAAATACGTCTTTTTAAGGGGAATTTGAAACTGAAACCACTCTGTATGCTAGCACTTAGATACATGTGTGTGTCTGTTTGAGGCAGGTAGTTGTCTTGGGTGGAACTGTGGTTTTAAGAATAAGTAGAACTAATTATAAATGATTAAGTTTGGCTGTTGGATGCAAAAGTAGTTTTTTAGATCCTTACCTTAGCCTGGAAATGTTTACTCTTGTAATGTTACGAGGCTATTTGATAAATTTAGCAATACTGCCAAGACAGGCATTCTCTAGCGGAAATTCCTGTGCTATAGGACTTAAAAACTTTGTACTGAAACATTGCCCTTCTCTCTACTGTCACAGTAAACCCCACCTTTAAATTGTGTAGTATGCCTCTACACATGATGAGACACAGAACAGTCAAACTGCTGTTCTTAAAAAAAAAAAAAAAAAAAAAAAAAAAAAAAAAAGGAAAAATGGTATTTTTGTTATGTGTCTGTAGATCAGCTCTAACATCTGAAAGAGCCAGTTATTTTAGATTTATTCTGATAGAAAAACTATTGGAAAGTGCTTGCTGATTTTTGGTACTGTTTGCTATTTAGAAGTACCATCTTTGACTGTTTTCTCATAAGGATCCTTTTGGATGGACAGTGGCTCCCACTTGTTTTTTTTCTTCCCGTGTTTAAGTTGTTATTTTTCTGCATATATACTGAGACTGAAGGAGTGAAGTTATTTTCTCAATACTTACAAAGTGAAAGACAAGGATAAATCTTTTGCATTCTGCTAAATTCTATCAGCTGTCCTCCCATCGTGATCCTTAAAGCCTACTACAAGTACTGTGCTACCTTGGGCTAAGTTTTCACAAAAACTGGACTAAAGCTCATTGTTGGGAAATTGGCTGTACAAAGTGAAAATGCAGGATTTTAGACTCCTTTTTGGTGTAATCTTATGTGATTGCTCCTAGTATATTTGCTTTAAAAACTGCTGGGTTTGCTTATGTAGTAGCCTAGCAACTGCAAAATCTGACTAGTTTGAAAGCCTTTTGATAAAACATGCTGTGTATTTCTTACTGATAGAATGCCTGAAGAAACCCTGTCAGTCCCCTTGATTTCACCTTTTATCTGTGGTGCATTTATTATGAAGTACTGCCCGTTGTCAGCAAGTGACTCATCGGCCCTCCTGTGTCTGTATCTTTTAGGTTTGAAGTTTAACCTTGGTCCACTATCCAATCCTATTATAATGTAAAGGTGCTCTAGGAAAGCTTTTTGTTCTTTTTTTTGTTTTTGGTGAAGTCGCACTGATCAAGGAGCAAATGCTGGGTTTTTTTAAGTGTTGCAGGCTGATTCTGCAAAACAGTCTGTGAGAGGTCTTTCCCACTTTTTAAATATGTAACTGCACAGAGACCTTAGGGTGTTAATAGTCTTATCAGATCAGGACATCTAACTTTTTATTTGTTAAATGCCTTCTAAGAGTTCAAAATTATTTCAAACCCTATCTGCTTACTTCTGTTTGGGTTTTGGCTTTGTTTTTTAATGCAGGAAATTGCTGACAAAGATGGAAACAACAAAGTTTTATCTTTCACCATCCCTTCATTATCTAAACCCTCAATATATCATGAGGTAAGAGAGCTGCTGTGGTAAATTAGAATTGGATCTATTAGAGGAATGAAAACTGGATCCTTTTGATGCAACAGGCCATTTTAGATGCATCTTGTTGCAGTAAGTTTTCAATGTCAGTAGCTTGCAATTAGTGTAATTGAAATCAGTAGCATTAGTAGAAGAAAAGGAATGTAAATGTTGAAAAATCTTTGCTGGCAGTGCCCATTTTGAATGGAGGTTAGTTGTGTTGTAGTTGGAGCTGTGGTTTTTTGCCTCTTACGTGTTAGTATAAAAGTAGTCTTTCTTCTTCTAACCCCTCCTTAATACAGTTTGAACTTGGAATCATGTTTTTCTTTCTCTACTGTTGCTGTGCAAAAGGTATGTGCAATTAGGACAAACTTAATGGATATGTAAGAATCAAAGTTGAAAATTGCTCTCATCTGCTCTGTTGCTTGTAAGTGTGGAAGCTGCTTATAATAATAAAATTAGGCAATGTTTTTAGATTTACTGTATTCTGGAATATTATTAATTTTTGCAGATCACAAGACAAATGTGTCTTTTGGCTTGGGCGGTTAGGACTTCTAATGCTTTCCAGGACCTTTTACTTATAGTTTGATTTCTTCCCCCTCCTTTCTTCCCTCCTCCTACCACTTACTTCCAGCCCTCAACTATTGGATCCATGGCTTTAACTGAAGGAGCTCTATGTCAGCATGATCTCATCAGGGTAGTTTACAGTGATCTTCATCCTCAAAGAGAAACCTTCACAGCACAAAACCGGTAGGTGGATGTATTCTAATATCAGAGGTGCAGACAAGAAGTCCTTAAACATTAAGACCAAATATATTATGTGTTCGGTCCTTTCTCAACACTAAGTGCTTGGAAATAAATCTAGAGAACAGTCTTGGTCGTCTTAAGGTATAGTATTTTTGTTGTTTGATCCAACTTTGTACGTTCTTCTCTAGTTAATTTAGAGGAGAATAACTTCTCTGTCACTTCTGTGTCCATCAGGAATATCTTTGGGTTTATGTCTGTCAACTCAAATTTTCCTAGAAGTGTAACAAAATTCAGCTTTGGCTCTGAGGCTGTGACTGCTTTTTCCACAGGAAAAGAGGAGTAGAACTGAGTGGATAGACAGAACTATGGATGAGAGAAATTGCCCTGCTGTTATACTGACTTTCAGCTTTACCTGTGTCTAAAGCCAGCTCTGGGAAAGCTGATAAAATAATTTTGAATGCATTGTGGACTTGTCACATTCTATAACTTTGTCTAAGTAATACGCCATATGCAATTTCCTCTATAATTCCTGCATATGCTAATAGTTTTCAGTAATAATAATTTTAAATGTTTAATACTGAATGTTTAGTTAAGGTTCAGTTTAATACTGAACCTGTTTCAGTATTATAATAATACTTCTGTATTATATTAATACTTAATATAATAATAATTCAGTATTAATTATAATTAATCATTATAATTAGTGAATTATAATGAGAGATGATTTCTGGATTTGTGTGTTTACTTCTGACACTTTTTCCTGTGGGGTACTTTTTGAGAATGAGTTGTAGAATTCTTGTGTTAAATTCTGATGAAATATTAAGAATTTAGACCATGTAAGGTTTTGCTCTTGTCTCTTTTCAGGTTTGAGGTGCTGAGCTTTCTTATGCTGTGCTACAATTCTGCTATTGTCTATATGCCTGCCTCTTCTTACCAATCACTTTGTAGGATGGGTTCCAGGTGAGACACCTTTGAAATAATCTTGCAGGGTGCATCTAGACTTCTAAATATTCATCCAGCAACAAAAGAATTCATTTACTTGTTGTGTTTAATAGCTTAAAATATGTAAATCTTGGTCAGTCCTGCAACTTAATTGGAAATTTGAAGCTGCACTCACATACAGATAAAACACATGGATTATCTTACTACTGCATGGGCTTTCATTCTAGTTATGTAACTTGCTGTTGTTTGAAAAGGAAAAGAAAAAAGGCAATTTTCGGGGAAAATTAGTTGGAACTACTCAGACTCGTTTGCATTTTTTTGATTTACTTATCTGTTAGACATTTTTCATTATGGTCACCTTAAAAATCCTGTGAGGAATACCACCGGTTTCCTCTACTTCAAAATATTAACGTCTTGCTTCTGAGGAGGGGTTATATGAAGTGTTTGCACACTGTTCTGGGTTTTAGTGGTTTATTTGGATTTTTTCTTTGGTTTGGGTGGTTTGGGTTTTTTTTGTTTGGTGTTGGTTTTTTCCTTCCTTTCTTTTTTTCCCCTGATAATAACATCCCACTTTCTGGAGAATTCATTACTGTGATTTCTCAAACTGTTATACATGCCCTTTATATAACCTTCTACTTGAATAGTCTTAGAAGCATCTGGTTGGCAGAGATCCCTGCTTTTTGTTCTGAAAAATCTCAAGTATATCTGATATTCCCATATGCCTGTTTCCACCAGCATTTTTCTCTCAAATGAGATAAATTCTCTCTCCTGCTACCCCAAACAGAGGAACCTCTTGAAATTTTTTTTGATTTAGCTTGTTTGCTTCAGCACAATACTGCCACAAAAGAAAAGCATTACATGGAATCCAGTGATCACAGAATCACAGAATCTTCTAGGTTGGAAGGGACCTTAAAGATCATCTTGTCCAACCGTCAACCTAACTGACAAAAATAGACACCCACACAACAAACAAGGAGCATCATCACTAAACCATCAGACTGGCTTCCAACAACGTATATTATGTAGTAATATAACACATATGCAGTTAAGATTACAGTGTGTTTACTTTCCTGAGATTTTGGATGGCAATGGTTTAAGTTTTGGTATGCTTCCATCATCTTCACTTGCATTGTGGCTATGCTGAATTTGCCAAATATGTTGACTTTCCCGGCATTTGAAAATTAGATCTGTTCTTTGGGTAGAGAAAAGACGACATTTTATAGGTTAGGGATTTCTGTAGTTTTTTAAACAGTGCAGCAGTTACTATGTATTCATGGCCATGTGTTGCTTTCATGGTGAAGATTTGTGTATTAAAGTTATAAATACATTAGTCTGTTTGGTTGTTTTTGTTTTTGTTTTTTTACGGAGACTCAATGTGATGCAAAGGAAAGTAGGCCTTTTTTTGGGTCAAGTATTTTTTTTAGAAGGCAGCTGAGAGCAATTCTCAAGAATACAGTATCTGCATTATACATCTTTAGGTAAAAGGTGATTGCATGCTGTCACCATACATTAGATAGGAGAAGATGTATTTCTCTTCTATACTACTGAATTGTTTCCTTTAAAGAAATTTGGGTTTGGTTACTGAATTTTGAGGAGAGTCTCCTACTTGGTGACTGACAATAGAGAACATCTTGCCACCCTCATTCTTTAGAAGCTGGTTATGATTTGAAGAAAACAGGTGGAGTTAATGGCTATATGAGCATAACTCTGGATTATCCAGCAAGTCACATCTCAAGACGCTGTTGTAAAACTGCTTTAATGATTGAGAGAGCAACATAAGAATGTTCTATGTTTTGTACTTATATTTTGAAAAATAAATTTTGAAAATAAACTAAAATCTCTGTGATGTAAAGACATCTGTAGTCTTTGTGGGGTTAACATTTTTTTCTACAATGGTGTGTTTTTTTCAGGCTGTGTGTGAGTGGATTTCCGCGGCAGCATGAGAAACGCTGGAAAGAACACTGTGGTAGAGTGGTGTTAGACCCTGATTTCATGGTGCAGCTGCTCACAGGTGTCTATTATGCCATGTAAGTGGATGGGTTTTTTCTGTAAAGAGAAATGTCTGGTTTTACATGAATTGTAATACTAGTTGGGTTTGTTGGTTTTTTTTTAATTGAAAAAAATAGTTAAACTTGTAACAGAAGTGTATAACTTGATTAGTGTGTTTTCTGTTACTTGCTCACTCACTCAGCCATAATAATTTGAAAATATCTTTATCAGCACTGAATGAGGTGATGAAGGGCTAGAAGTAGGTGCTGAAGAGAGTTAGGCTTCTGGACTCCTCTTTTCCCAAGTTTCCACTACCACCAGACACATGAGCATAATGAGCTTGGATGCCAAGATAACCTGATGAAATGCAGACCTCTTGAATGGCAGTAGCTTCTGAGGTAGCAACAATCCATTTCTGCTGGTAATTTGGTTCTGCTAAGTAACATTAATTGTTATATTTTGATCCCTTTTTTTTTTTAATGTTTAAGTTTGTCCTGGTTATGGCATCAACTTTGTATTGCTTGGAGGTGACAGGGAGCTGCTTTTTTGTTATATTGACAAGATTAACAATTAAGTCCTTTGTCTGTACTTTTAAAAGAAGTGAAGGGGCTGGCGTGTACGTGCAGTTGATGAACTTTCTACATCAGTAAAGAAGTGAAGAGCTGGATTTGTGCAGAAAAAAGACAGGATTGAGTTCATAAGATATGAAAGATAAATATCTTTCTTTACTTTTTAGATATAATGGTCAGTGGGATCTTGGCCAGGAGGTATTGGAGGACATAATTTACAGAGCACAGCTTGAACTCTACTCACAGCCTCTGCTGGTAAGAAATAACCCATTGCAATTTATATACTTGGTGAAGAGGAGTATGGATGTGTTTCTGAAGTGGACTGGTAATGAAAGCATTTGTGGCCATTTACTGCACTCCCAAATGCAAGTGGTTGTTAACAGCTGGTGTTTTCAATGTAGCTATTTATACCATGCTTTTTCTGCTTGAGTATTAAGCTAGGATGCTGGGATCTCCTAGGAGTCATTGATGCTGAAAGCTAGGATTTTCTAATGCTAGGATTTTCAATTACAGTTGGATAAAAATGCTTATATTGTTTTGGCATAAGCTACCGGTGAGTGATTCAAAGAAGCTTAACCAAATGGTTATATGTCATAAGACATTGGTTGCAAAAAAGGTGTTTTCTTTGCTTCTAGACCTTCATCAGTGCTTTGAATATGCTGTATGGTTAAACTGATAACACAGTAGAAGAAACATCAACAGGATAGAGCTTAAAGTGAAAAGGAACTTCATCTCCAAAGTCAGTGTCAGATTTTGATTGACCAAAGCCACCCAGGTCTTAATCTTTACATTCTCTAGAGGAGCAGCAATAGAATGGAGTTCTTCTGATTATCTGGCTTTTTCAGTTTCCACTATACTTGCTGTTCTGATCATAAGAAGAGATAAATGAAATGGGGAAAGTGGTGAAACTGGGCTGAATGCAGGTGGATGTTATTGGGGAGGAAGAGGAGGTTGAAAGAGAGAAAGGGGTAACAGAAGGATTTTATTTTTTGTCAGATGTAAAAATGAGGATCAACATAAGAGGGAAAATGAAGGAGAATACAGTAAATAGACTACTGTCTCAGTTTCTGCATCAGAATTATGGCTAGAAGCCTTTAGTGCTCCTCTGAACTAAGAGCGGTAAAATTTCACTGCTTTTTACATAACTGAGAAAGGAGTAGATTGGGAAAAATCTTCTTATGTGGCAATCTGAGATCCCTTGCTTCTGCAATAAATTACATAAAATTGTTCTCTTGATTTTGGCTGTAAAATTTATCTACAAGCTTTCTGACACTGCAGCATTTTAAATGCTTGGTATCCATTGAATTATAATAGTTGGTTCCTTTTGGAAATGACTCATTGCTCCATCAGATTGAAAGTTTTAAATTAAATATTGAACCTGCTGAATTGGGCCACCCTATCAAACTACTACATTTAAAAGTGTGTAGGAGGATCTGGAACTTAATTGAATTGATGATATGACAATTTTCAGTCTGTATTGTTCATTTTTAATCAGTTTGGCCTTAGAGATTACTTCTAATTCTAAGAATCTTCTAGAATGTCTTTTTTTTTTTTTTTCCCCCAAAGCTACTTTTGCCTCTCTATCCCATTGTCTGGTGTTGGTGACATGACATCACCAATTTTTCGTCCTTTCCCAGTTGTTAGGTTTTTCATGCATATGCATGCAGGCACATCTGTGGGGTATTCTTCTTAATGCTCTAATGATTGCCTTGCTTCCAGTCTTGTTTTACTGCAATTTTTAAAAAGCACCCTTAAGTAATTTTCTGTTTTGTAAAATGATGACCTGCATGTCCTTGGCCTCACGCTATATATTCAAGCAATTTGACTTTTTTCAAAGGTTGGAGTCCGTTCACCTCATTGCATTCTCCAGATGTGTATAATCTAGCAGCATTATAAAATTTTGTATTTTAAAGTTAAAACTACTGGCACCAAGTAAAATATCAGCTGTGAAGCATTGCAGATAAATTTCAAGTTCAGCCTCTCCCTAAGATTTTCTAACAGCAGCAAGTTCTTTGAAGTCTATTTAATATTCAGGCAAATCCCCACGTTAAGATTGTTTTTAGATATCTGTACTCAAACTATTTGTATAATTATAAGAATATCACCAGTCATCATTACAATGAGAAACATCACGATCCTTATGTTTGGGTATGTCTCTTGGAGAAGGATTTTTGACAATACAGTAGATCCATAGAATTGCAGAATCATAGAATGTTTTAGGTTGGAAGGGACCTTAAAGAGTATCTTGTTCTAACCCCCCTGCCATGGGCAGAGACACCTTCCACTAGACCAGGTTGCTCAAAGTCCCATCCAGCCTGGCCTTGAACACTTCCAGGGAAGGGGCATCCAGAATTTCTTTGGGCAACCTGCTGCAGTGCCTCACCACCCTCACAGTGAAAAATTTCTTCCTGATATCTAACCTAAATCTACCGTCTTCCAGTCCTAAACCATTGCCCTTCATCCTCTCACTACATGCCTGGGTAAAAAGTCCCTCTCCAGCTTTCTTGTAGGCCCTCTTCAGATACTGGAAGGCTGCTGTAAGGTCTCCCCGGAGCCTTCTCTTCTCCAGGATGGACAACCCCAACGCTCTCAGCCTGTGTTCATAGGAGAAGTGCTCCAGCCCTCTGATCATCTTCGTGGCCCTCCTCTGGACACACGTCAACAGGTCCACATTCTTCAGTCTTATGAGAGCTCCAAAGCTGGACACTACTCCAGGTGGGGTCTTACAAGAGCAGAGCAGAGGGGCAGAATCACCTCCTTCGACCTGCTGGCTACACTTCTTTTGATGCAGCCCAGGATATGGTTGGCCTTCTGGCCTGTGAGCATGCATTGCCAGCTCATGTTGAGCCTCTCATCCACCAACACCCCCAAGTCTTTCTCTTCAGGTCTGCTCTCAGTCCATTTTCTTGCCAGCCTGTGTTCGTGCTTGGGATTGCTGATGCAGTGCTCTTGTTTAAATAGGTTTATATTGCCTGTGGACTTAAAGCAACAAAGAAGAACCACCCAAAAACCCTCACGCTGAAATAGCAGCATTGGAATGCTATGAATTATCTGTAATGTAGAAGCAGTCTCCTTTCACTGTTACCCAGAGACTACACCGGGAAGGGCAAGAAGTGTAATACAAGTGACAGGCTTTTCATGGGAAAAAGTATCTCTGTTAGCAAACACTGGGTATTGGTTTCATAGTCATGAAAACTGGAAGTTTCTACAGAGGGCAAACAAGTCACTGAGACTCAGTATTACTGCCAATCAAGCCTGGACCTGGGGAGTAGCTCAGCTCCAATCAATCAGTCTCTTCCTCTAAACATACAAGTTCTGTGCTTGTTTCAAATGGAAATCCCTGTCTTTAGTGCAGAGACACACAGGCTGGTACACAAGAAGCATGGATCAGCAAGTCTCTATTGTGGCAGCACCTTTATCAAGTGTATTTTATTGATGTTATTATTTTTTGGATGTTCTTTTTGTAGGAGTTCTTTTCTGATAGGCAAGAGTGGTTGTCTGGCCTGAAATCAGCCCTCCCTTGTCACTGATAGTTGCTGTTTGTTTGTTTTCCTGCTTTTGAGTGCTGGATTAGACACAGTGAGCAAGTTTATTTTTGCGTCCAGAAGGATCAGTTTTGGTTTTTTCTCTTAGAGGAGGGCTGTGACTCATTCAAACTGGTTGTTTTTATTGTTTCAAAGTTGTACTATTGCACTGATTAGATTTTATTTTTTCTTATCTCCATAATCTCCTCAGTCCCCAGAAGTACAATTTGTGCTCTTAGAAAGGGCTGTCCGTTAAAAAGTTCAACAAGCAGAAGTGCTTTGTCACTTTTCCAGTCCCATTGCAGAAACTTTCTGGTACTAATTTTTAGATTTTAATCCTGTATACTGAATACAGTGCCTATTCAAAAGAGGGCACAACTCTAGTGAGTAGAAGATAGGAAGGAAAAACTTTTTGTATACTGTTGCATTTGATCTGCTTTGGTTCAGTACAGCAGAAATGAATTTCTGAAGTCTTTAATGTGATCAGGGATAGGGTGAATGCAGTTTGTACCATTTCGAGAGGATGGCATTGAAGAAAGGCCAATGTGTGAACAGAGGAACAGCTCACAAGTCTTGAGGCTGAGAGAATTGGCTAGCAAAGGGCAAACCAATTTTGGACCAAGTGGAAGGCAGAATGATAAGAAGCATTTCTGTGACGGTGCCAATAATCTTTAGTGCTGGTTAGAAGCCAGACAGGAAGACACTGGATAAGATGTTTAATGGGGAATTACAGTATCACAACAGCAGCTGGAGATAGAATCATATAGCAGCCATTCCAGACCCTTCCAGGAAGTGAAAAGTCTTTGATTTAATTAATATCCTGTGATCTGTGGCCTTACTGTTTGGAACAGTTTCATTTCTTCTCATGGTTGCTGGACAGTTTGCATGTTGTAACTTGTAGGAAAGTAACTTTTACTTTATTATAATGCAAGTAAACACTTTTAATTCATGGAGCTTTTATGGCATGCCATATGCATTAATATAATCTTTTTATCAAATGTTAACTGAGATCTTCACAAGACAATGCAAAGTTCTGCCGATAGAGTCTGTTCCAGTGGTTCAGTAGATTTCTCATAGTGTGTTTTTGTAAGTGCTAACAAAAGACGACTTAATTAGTTAAGCAGATTTGGTATATGTGGGCTTTGGGACTTCAAAGAATTTGTTGGATGTCCCTTAAGTTTCCAAGACCTCTGGCAACCTAAGAATATCAAGACAACATTGATGAGGTTTAAAAGTGCGTTAGTTCTGTCACTAGGTTGAGGGATACATATGAAAATGTTCCTTACAGCATAAAACTAGGAAATGCTTGATTATGGTTATGTGCTAAACAGTTAACACTACGCCATTGGCTAGTCACAAGTCTTTATACAATAAGGAAAATAGGTAGGCTGAGGTGGAAACTGGTCCTGTCTCCTCCATGCACAAAGCCATATGCTGTTTGTGTTGACTTGGACTGTGACTTAGTTTTATAACATTCTTGTCATAAAAGATAAATTGTATTTTCCTTGTCATTTTGCAGTATTTTTTGGATGGAGACCTTCCTTTGTAGGCTGTTAACTCTGTCTGTACAGGAGGCAAACATGGAACAAAATAAATTACCTTAAAAAAAGAAAGAAAATTCAGCTATATTTTTGGGAATGAGCTTTTCAACATAGTTATCAACTGTGAATCTTGGGGATGGGGCCATGCATCTAGATGGGATCTGGCATAATTAACATTTCCTGGTTGTTTCCCTTTCTGTTTTCAGCAAGAAATCTAATATTTCCACTGGTGCAGTCACGGACAGTAGTAGTATAGCATTTTACTTCTATCTTAGGTTGCAAATGCCATGAAGAATTCACTGCCCTTTGATGCTCCTGATTCATCACAAGAAGGCCAGAAGGTACTGAAAGTAGAAGTTACTCCGACAGTACCGAGGATTTCTCGGACTGCCATTACAACAGCTTCTATCCGTCGTCATCGCTGGAGGAGAGAAGGTGAGCTTTCTCTGCAAAGAGCAAACACTGTAGTGTTCTGTATTCATCATCGTCACTGTAATCTGGCTTATGAATTTGAATGTTTGCAGAACAGTTGGTTGGGTTTTTTTGTTTGTTTAGTTTTGAAAAGTTATATTCCATAACAACGTGTAGTATTTTACATCTTCAGAGCACTGCATGAACATGAACATTTGAGATGTTTGTTTTGTTTTTTATTTGGTGATAAGCCATGAGGTAGGCGAGAAAATGGAGAAGCTGGAAAATGTTCAGTAAGACTTCTGTTTTCCAATATGTAACACAGTATAAAATTGTAGGGATAGAGCTTGGCTTAGAATTTGAGTCCTCCTTTAATCCACACTAAAACTCAACTTACTCCCATCATAAATAGTTCAGAGAATCAATGGTATTATCCAGACCTTGATAGGGTTTCACCTACCTAAAGCTACTGAAGGCAGTGGGAGAGAGAAAGCTTGCTCACATGGCCAAATTTAGAGAGGGGCCATGTCATAAAATAGCTTCGGGTAGCTTAGAATCAGTCCTTATTTTTTCCTCAGTGAGTACTTTTGTATGGAAGTGTGCTTGACTGTATGAAAAAAAAAAACAAATATGTACTAATATTTACATTGATATGGTGACATTGTCAGTGTAGGTATGGCAAAAAGCTTGCTTTGAAATCACTTTGTCATACTTATATAGCTTTGTTGCTGCATGTATAAAAGATTGATTTAAAAAGCTGCATAAATATCTGAAGGTAAAAAGTAGAATAACCTAAAAATAAATTGAGAGTAAAAGAGTCTGAAAACAAGGGCTCCTATGGTACTTCTCTCTTGTCTTGTTTTGTTTTGTTTTCCTGTATTATGTGCCAAAGGATTTGATGACCCCTGGTCTTCAGCTGAATCAGGATGTCCAGGACAAGTAGCTGTCTTCTGTTTTCAGGACTCTGGATTGTGTTTGTCTTCACTGTAGCTGCCGTTATATTCATTCGCCAGTCTCTAGTCTACAGTATAGCCCACCTGTCCCTTTCTGTGGATGTTCTCACGACCTTTAACTAAGCATGGGTAGTGTTTTGTGTTTGTTCCATGTCCGCATAAATTTTCTATTTTCCCTGCCTGGGTTGGAATGCCAAGAAAGAAATAGAAAAGCACTAAAATGTTATATGTTGAATCCCAGATGGCTTTGACTTCTCAAACGAGGCTGACTCAAGCATACCTGGCTCACCGATCCAACACGGCTCCACAGACCTAGGGATCAAACGTGAGCAAGAGGGGGAGGTGCTGATGCGCAGGACCCCTGAGCATGGCTTCCCGGAGCCCACCTTGGCAGCAGCCACAACAGAGGGTAGGACAGAGATGAGGAGGCAGAAGTCAGTGAGGCAGTTGCTGGAGGAGGATCCTGGCTCCCTATCCCCAAGCAGAACTTCTTTCCATTCTAGTGTGTGTTTCCGCTATCCCAGGGTGTATTAGCTTCTCTTTGCAATACACGCATCCCCTATATACCTAACATCAGGTCAGGTACTACCTTTTGTTATCACATGGGCTGGCCTGTGGCTTGCATCTGCGTGGTGAAAGACTGCTTGGCATGGCAAAAAAAAAAAAAAAGGCAAAAGAAAAACCCCAAACCCAGGGGTAATAGCCAAGAGCTTTGGGATTGCTTGGAAACTTTCTATTACTGAGCATGTTTAATTTAATACTCAGAAGAGAAAAATGCACCAGTTGAGCATGAGTCTAGTCCTGAAAAATAGACAGTATAGAGTATGAATAGATTTCGCTACAACTTAGTTACAACAGTGCCTTGCTAGTCTGCAGTTTTTAAATTTCCAAGAGCAAAATTTCCTGTTCCCACTAAAAGTCAAGCCTATCTAAAACAGATAGAAAACTGCTGATGTTTTTATTTGCCAATCATCTTTTAGTTGAACATTCATAGACATACAGCTTGTTTACATGAATGAGCTGGCTACTCTAAAGAAAAGTACCCAAAAGTGCTTGTGTTTTCAAGAAGAAACCAGGTTGTCATGTTTCTTAAAGCTATAGAAACAATTACTGTTTTCTTTCTTGTTCATGCTGTCCACACAAATGCTGTAGGACTTCGTATGTCTGCTCTGCAGCCAAGAATAGCAGATAGAGTAGCTGGTAGAAGATTATTTTGCTTAAGTTCATCTATTAATTTTCTCATCTTTACTTCATAAAAGATGTGGTTTTGAGTACTGAATTTAATCATGATTTCTCCTCAGAGAGAAGAATTCATTTCTTGTAAATGTAGCTAAATATATTTTCAAATGTTCTCCTATCTTAAGTCGTCTTTTCAATCTGAAAATTCCTTTGGTATATCCAGCCTACCTATAAACATATCAGTTGATCATACATGAGATTTATTTGCACATTTGGATATGAGCTACATAGGTTTCAGATATGTTGTTCTGGAAACAACAATCTGGAGATTTAAAGTAGTGTTGTCACAGAATCCTTATCCTTAATCAGAGTTGCTATCAAACAGTAATTAAGACATCATGCTTCTGTAGAAGATAGTTGCATAAAAATGTTTAGTGTGGGTTTATCTACTCCTTGGTGCATAGTGAATTTGAGCATGCTCAGTAAATGAGTCCTGTCTTCTAAATTCACTTGTTGGTCTTACTCCATTTTACTAAACTTTGCATGTGCATGACCTGAAGGATATGGAGAAGTCCTCAGTTGCAGAGAACCTTCTAGGAGAGACAGGAAGTGGGGAAGAAATTGATAAAGACTTGACCTTCTAGTCTCAGTTTGTTTTAAGACATCTGTATAATTTGGCATGTTTTTGGATAAGGCATCTTTCCACATGCTTTACTTCAATAGAAGTGGGTTGAATACCCTTTACTTTCTCTGACATGTATAATTACATGCTTGGGTGAACTGGATTCTGCCAGTTGACAGTATCTGGGAGAAGGCCAAGAAATGGAGTTTGGCTTCATCATTAGCATAGAATTTTGTGTGTATATATAGTGGTCTAATATTTTACTGATGTTGAGTTCACAAAAAGTTTCAGCTAGCAAATTCCCTCTCATAAATATCATTCTAATATTAAACAATATAATGAAAGACTGATAATTTCTAGTGACTTTCTAGTAACTTTCAGGCATGGAAAGGATAAACAGAATAAAAGTCACTTTAAAAAGCTTTATAAAACCCTTTCTTCCGATCAGTGTTTTTACCAATAAGTAGAAAAAAAGCAGATGATTTCAAGAATGACTCAATAATGCCTTACAAGATATTCCGCTTGAGGCTGGTAGCAGCTGTGGTTATGTGCACTATTTTGGGTCAGTGGAGAATGCTGTACCTACATCTACAGGATCAATTATGTACTTGTCTTCTTAAGGAACGGTGAGAGTCCGGAGTACACACTGTAGTGCAATTGATACGATTTTTGTCAGGTTGCACTGTCTCTTTCTCTTCTGGCTTTACAATAGAAGAGTACTTGGGAGGAGTAGGTTTTTAGATGTTTTGGGTTTTTTTTCTTTTTTTTAATTGTCTTACTGCTCTATTGGGAAGGGAAAAAAAGAAAACTTTATAACTTCATTCTGTTTTCTCCCGCAAACAGAGTATGTAAGGACTCAAACATTTTTTTTATTGTTTTTGAGGGCAGTTTTTAGAGGAAAAATAACATGTATTGGGAAAAGAATACGTGTTTGCTGAATTACTTCAGTCCCACTGAGAACTTTTGTAGGTATATGGATCGGACTAGACAGAAATTCTCTTGCATGTTGTCTTCTCTATCTTCTTCATTTTTGAGCACTGCTGAGCTGCTTGGGCCTTATACTTGCAGCATCCAAAAGCTTGCAGCAGCCCCTCTCAGTCTTGTCTTTAAATTCTGTGGATAAAATGCCACTTTTTCATTGTGACTTTTCTGCTTCACTGTCCCTGAATAGGAATGTCTGTTCTAGTTACATTACTCAGCAATGTTTTAACATAGACTTTGAAGACAACTAATGTTCTTGTGATGATAAAAAGCTTAGCATTATTGCCTGGAGATACCTTCTTCCAAGTTACACATCCTTCGTTTGAATAAGAAGGGCTTGAGAGGGGACTTAATCTGCCGCTATTGCTGCTTGTAACCGAACACGCTTTCATCCAGCTTTGCATGATTATATAAAGAAACATAAATGTTGATTTATTGAAAAAGTGCTCTTACTTTCAGTATGTTCTAGCTACGTCATTTTTATTAACATCTTTGATTATGTGTGGGAAGGTTGGGGTGGGGGGAATGAAGATGTGGTGGATTGTGAATAAAATACATCACTGTCTAATGTATGAAAATACACTTATGTCTCAATGAGAAGACGAAGGCTTAGTTTGACCAAACAGGGTGGGCAGGAGGGGAAGAAAGTATATACATTTTAAATATGATTACAGGAAGTTAAGGCAAGTAACACACCATTCATTTTAATAGTAGCCCTTGAAGCCTAAGAAGCCTCTTTTTCTAAGACTAAAGGCTTTACTAAGGAAGGGAGATTGCAGTAAAATGAACTATATTACCTTTCTGCTTCTAGGAGGCTATTTAGTCAAACAGAACTATGTAAAACTACAGAATAATCTCACATCGTGTTGTTCTGAGAGAGGCCTGAAAATGGTCTGATTCGGAGATGGCTAAACATCTTTTGTAAGCTGTTACACAGTAATGGTAATTCTAAGGCAAGGTTTTTTTGAAAATAAGATGCAAGTTTCAAACAGAATAATAAAACCTCCCTGTAAAGTTTTCTTTTTGCTTTACACTCCAGGACTGTGAAGTTGGATCAGGCTATATTCCTGCTATAAAGAGGCGGCAACAACACTGAAAGCTTTGTGTCTGTTCTGCTTGCCATAATGTAAAATGTTCCTTAGTGCTCTGCTAACAATCAGCATGAAAGGATGAGCTTCCAATTGTTAGAATCTCTCAAATCCTTGCCACCACTTTTCTCCATTCCACAAAAGAGATATCAACGTGTTTGCTTGGTGGCAAGCTGGGTTGAACAAAAACTGCCAGTAGAGTAGTACAGCTGGGACAGATCCATAGGCTTCGCAGATTTCTCACAAATAATCAGGCTCCACAGCTTTTATAAAGAAAAGCAAAATTCTTATGACCTGAATGTCTCCTTTTTTGCTTACATGGTTAAACTTTGTGGCTTTTTCCTATTGAAATGAGATAGCATGGAACAAAAACTCAAGCTCCATTTTCAGTTTTGAAATTTGAGTGCTGTTCAGTTTTCTGCTGTTTTTCTTCTTTTGAGTACTTGGAGGTTAGAAAAAGGACTGGAATAAATTGGTTGTTTTTTTTTTTTTTAAAAAAAGGTCTTTTTGTACAGTCCTAATCATATTATAGGCCTGAAAACAAGGATTTAAGAAAGAAGTTTGTCAGGCTTTTTTTTCCTCTTTGAGATTCCAGTCAAAAGCACAGTATCTGTTCTATAACATGAAGTGTTTCAGAGGTTAAATTTTTCTTAATGAAAGGGTTGGGTTTTTTTTTCTGAAAAATCTAGATGCTGAAATAAAAGCAAGTAGGGTGGAAGCACCTAGATAGGATTGCTGGAAATGCAGGGAGGATTGAGCTCTGGAGGAGAGAGAACTAGGAATTAGGTTAACCTCCAACAGAAAGTATAGTCCCATTGTTTGACGTGCCAGCTATGCACAACAAGTGCCTTCTACCTCTGTTGCAGCATTGTGATTGCTGACCTAATTCTGAAGCTTACCAAGCACTCACCAGAACTTATTTTTACTGGAAGAGATCCTGAATGTGCTTAGATCTTGCCTCAAAATAGGATAAAATTAGTCTGAAAGGTTTTTTGTTTGGGTTTTTTTGTTGTTTGTTTTTTTTTTTTGAAACCACATATAGAACGGGCATCAGTATCTACAGACACAACTAAAACAAATTAACCAAAATTAACTCTGTTTATAGACAAAGTTTGGAGATATTCTAAGTGATAAAAGTGGTGTAGAGGAAAGCAAAATCAAGCTCAGGGTGTACTTATTGTTAGATTCCTCTATTCTGCAAAATATGACAGGAAGATTATTGGCTGAGAATCAGAAATTTCAAAGCAAGTGTACACCAGGTGGATTAGCAAATGAGGTTTGTTTTGACATTCTGTGTGCATCTTGTCTTCATGTAACTTGAATGTTTACTGTGTGTTCTGATTGGTTTGGGGTTTTTTTTTGGTTGTTTCTTTTTTCTTAATAGATACTGAAGGTGTAAATGGAAGAGAGGAATCTGTGAACCTTAATGATGCTGATGAAGGATTTTCATCAGGAGCTTCCCTCAGCAGCCAGCCCGTTGGGACCAAACCTCAATCATCAGTATCCCAGAAGGGCAGCTTAAGGAAAACAGCAAGTGGGCGTTCTGCTAAGGATAAAGAAACCTCTTCTGCAGCAAAATCCAATGACAGCCCTCGAGATTCAGTAGCTCGGAAGCAGTACATGCACCAATCTGCTGACCTTGGTGCAGATATAATTGAGATGACACCTACTAAAAAACACCTCAGCCTGCCTGCTGGGCAGGTGGTGCCAAAAGCCAACAGTTTGAGCCTGATCAGGACCGCCAGTGCTTCCTCCAGTAAATCGTTTGACTATGTGAATGGCAGTCAAGCAGGCTCCAGTGTTGGAGCTGGTACAGATGGTGTCACCAATCTAGCAGCTGGCAACACCAATCGGTTTTCAACTATCAGCCTACAGGAGGACCGACTAGGCCAAGCTGGGGAAGGTAAAGATCTCCTTCCCCCAGGAGCTCCCCTAACCAAGCAGTCTCGATCTCCAAGTTTCAATATGCAGCTGATATCCCAGGTGTAACTTTGACTCCCTTCCTTAGGACTCCTTGTTTCCCTTTAATCCCCAGGCAAGTTCATCCTTAGGCAAAACGTGAACCATCATCCCGCAGTGTGAAAATACTGACTGTTGTGATCTTGTTTGATTTGGTTTAGCTATCATACTGTATTACTGAAACAGCAATAATTCTTCCCTCACCTTCATTCCCCCTCCTGCCCCCCTTGTAAACATGGTTGTGAAGCAGTATATAATGTACTGTATGCCTTTTTCCATGCCTTCCTTTCTCCTTGGGTGATGTGCAATCCATCGTAGGCTGATCAGTCCCATTTCAACACTGTGAGACTGGAGACACCGGCGGAAATGGTGAATGTGATCCCTATGAGATGATGCTTTGGCTTTGTTAAGAAATAGAAACGGGTTTGTTTTCTCGGTCTACAGTACTGCAAAGACTACTGGATCATGACTTTTCTTTCTCAGAACCAGGAGTGCCTCAGAGATTCTAGTGTGACTTTGGACCTCTCTGAGTCTGTGCAATCAATTCTGGGGAGGGGATTGTCATTGCTGCTCCTGGCTGCCTACAGCACTTTTTTCATTAAAATGAGGGTAGTTTTTTCTTGCCTGCCCCAAGTCTCTCATCCCAGAAGCTTTTGATGTTCAGCAACTGAGACATGCATATTAACAAGTTGTTTTCCCTCAAAGAGAGGATTCTAAGTAGATAATGTAGGTTACAATGCACTTCTGATGGCGTTGTAGCCATATGTAATGTTACATGTCTTCCCCTCCAGGACACAGGGTCATTCTGCATAGAGACTAAAATTTAGACAACATCTGCTGTTAAAGCAATTTGGTTTGTAAGTGGAAGGGAAACACTACTTTCCCAGGAACTAATAGCTAGCTCTGCTCCATTTTTGTTGTTGTTGTTATTCTTGTGAGGTGCTGATCACTGAATTGAAAAGTGTATTCGGGTAAAGAATATTTCTCAGGCTGCTTTCTATGGTATCATGGCTGTTTGACACCCCTGCCCGCCTCAGCTGCTTTCTCAGTGTCCCTGAATTCAATGACAGAGTCATTTGAAGAATCCTGCAGTACAGACAGACTCTTAAGGGGCTGTCTCAGGGATAGAGACAATAGTTTGCTAGAAACACTGAAGCTTCAATGTGAAATGCTTTTCTAGAAACACCATTTGTGCAAAGGGGTACTGACAGTCCTTTTTTCCCAGAAGGATCACACCTCATTGCCTTGGTATTTATAATCCATTGAGTTTTTTTCATTCTTACTTTAGTGGATTGGTCCTACTCTAGAAAATTCAGAACTCATGCCATTGAGCCATGCCTTGAATGTATATGACTGGTGTATGGGCACTGGCTGGTACTAGAGAACACTGCTTAGAAGCACATTTCTGGTTACACAGGAGAATTTTTGTCATTCTCTCTCCATCTCTCTGTCTCTTTTTGGATTGCTAGAGAGAAAAGGGGAAAGTTCATCCTCTATGCTGAAGTAATGTATAATATCCTGGAAGTTTACAAATTGTAAACCCACAGGAAAGAGTTACGATCTTTATGTGGGCACTTTGGTTTCACTGTCACTGTGAAGGATAAACATAAGCAGTTAAAAATAGCAGGCGATCTTTGAATGATAGTCCTTCGAAAACCAGGACAATGACATCATGTTGCATTGCTGGTAGTTGGTTTTGGTTTTGTTCGGGTTTTTTTTGCTTTTGAATATCATTATTTCAAATAGAATTTTTTTTTTTAATTTACATTAAAAATCATTTAAATATTTGAAGGTTTTTTGTGGCAAGTGATTTGGCAAGTCACTTTGGTAGTCTAATCTTCATATCTTACATTCATAAAGTGAATTAAATGGCAACTGGACTGATGCAGAGATTCAATTAAAGAGTAAATAGAATCATCAGAAAGAAGACCTTACAGTTTCTAAATTTAAGTTAATCTTTAAGGGCCACCAGTCGCACACAGATGGAGCTAAGGCAAAGTTGAAATTAAGCTACGATGCATTTTTTGCAGAAATGTCAAAAGCTGTATGTGGTTAAATGCTTCTTTATTTTATAAGGTTTTACTAGTGGAAACAATTGGTAAGTTGTGGATGAAAGTACAAAGTTTATATTTTGTAGAGACTATCACAACAGAAATTCTATTAAAGAGCCATGACTAAATAGAAAAGGACCAAATAATTTGCTTAAATCTTTGAATTTTTGGGAAAGGAAAGGCCAGGAGTGTCAGCTAATTTCTTAAGAATTTTTTTTTTGGTTTAGTGTTTTAAAAAGTAAGAGTTGTTCATTAGCAAGGTTCTCTACTTTCTACATTTGCTGTTATAGTCCAGAAGTTTTAGGACACTTAAAATGGCAGCAGGCCACATTTCACAGCCTTTTTTTTTTTTTTTCTCCTTGAAATATTCTTATGTGTGGGGTCCCACACTATTAAATTATTTCAGGCAAGTGAGACAGCTCAGTGACTTCAGATAGGGAAGTCAAATGTATGTGCATAATTTTTTCGTTAAAACTTTAGTTAAACTACCTTTTCAGACATTTTTACAGTTCTCATTTTGATGATGTGCCTTTTGTTATTGTATCATCCATTGTATTTTAGTTTGTTCTTGTGTATATATACCTACCCCATATAAGGCTTTTTAAAGAGTTCAAATTTATCCCTGTTAAAAAAAAAATAATTTTTTTTGTTGCTGTGTGCTGATGTGGTACATCTATAACTTCTTAAAATTACCCTTTTAGTGCAATGTTTCAGTTGTGGGAGCCTGTTTTGTCATTTTTCAGACAAGTACTGTTCAACATCTATCTTACAAAATGAGTCATCACTAATATCTACAAACCAGCTGCGTTGACAGGCTTTGCCAGTGCTGTGTATCATGTTTATCATTAATGCTTCTAGATCTGTCTCAAACTATGCCAGGGTAGTTTAAGATCGTAGCAAAACTTTATACACTGAAGTTCAGTACACTTCAAATTACTGTGGCAGAAATAAAATTTGAAGTGTCGGGGATATGGGTTGAAGGAATAATCTGCCATCTTTCTGATTATATATGCTAATTACTAAACAAAGTACAATTTTTTGACACCTGTGACAAATATTTAAACTTAAATCTGTTTATCCTGAGTTCACTCTGCTGTGTCTTGTTTTAGAACATTTGGTACTTGACATGAGGCACTAGATTTTCTGCAGTATTTCAATGCAACTACAGCATTATAAAAGAGGGTAAAAAAGCAGAACACTACTGTTTTTTCCAGTGTATGTATGTGCACATGCATGCACATATACGTAATTCTTAGGTGAGCAAGTGTTGGTACTATATTTTGATGTATATATACAAGTAAGTAGGGATAAATGAATTATTCCTTGATACAATGCTTACCACATCACAATATGCTGTCATTTTGTAACTCATTTTTGTTGGACTTTATAATTTTAAGAAAACATAAAATGTTGGGATTGCTAACTCCAGCTTGATGTATGCTTTTCAGGGTTTTATCATGGGCAGCTTTTTGGTTGAATGATGAGCCGTTTTTTCATCCTGCAGGCAGCAAAGTGATGAAGTAAAAATACCTATTAAAACAAATGTTGCAAGATGATAGTTTAAATTGCTGTATTATCCTTTTAGTTTTCATTTGGAGACTTTGTACGCCATTGTCCATTTAACATGCAGATTTCTTTGAACACCCTTTCTGATGTGATTTTCCAGGGGTTTTTTTAACAGTATAATTCATTCCATAATGCTGAACATCATGTTGCAGCCAGTAAGCATTAGATCTAGTATTTGTAATCTGCAAGTGTGTTGGTCTTAAATACGGCATTTCCAACATACCCTTGCTAGCTTTAACATAAATCAAATGATCTGGTTTAACATCAAAATAGTGAAGAAAAAAAGAAAGTTTTCTGACAAAGTATTTATTTGCACTACTTACGAATACTGGAGTTTACTGGGACAGGGTTTTTTCTCACCATGTGAGGTTTACGTGTGTGTGGGTAGGTACATACATTTGTCACGTGTTGACAATCAATTGCCTCAACTGTGTGTATACTGTATGTAAATATGAACATATTTTTCAAGATTAAGGGGGAGACCTGCATCTTAATGGTGGTAAAGCTGCTCTGTAGTAAGGTGACCCCAACTCTAATCCCTTTTTGTCTCCAGATACTATGTGGCTTGTTTTACTTCTTTAATGAAGATTATTGGTGTTCTTGGAAAATTTTAGCTCCAGGGGAACTTTCCTCAATATTTAATGTATAGCATGTTCAGAGAATTATATTTTGAAAAATTAATTTTGGAATAGATAATTCTATGCTATGGCTGTATTTTAACCTAAGAGTTTAAACTTGTCCTATTTTATCATGAACCAATGGCTATCTCTTTTAAGCGTTCAGCATTTTGACTTCGGTCACAAACCAGAAATTTTTGTGTATCTTGGCTTACAGATTTAAATTAATTTGAAAACTGAGTGAGAACCAAGAATAACTTTTTGAGTAAAATCATGAAAATCAAGCAGTACAGACCTAGGCACTGTACTCATAATCCTGGAGGAGGTGTGGAAAATATAATGGAACATGTTTGAATGAAATATATTTACTGCACACAAAACAAAAAGATGTTTCTGATGTTAGTAAATCTAATAATCTCATCCTTAAATTCTGCAATTCTCTCATTGCCAAAGATATTGCTACCTTGGTATGTTTAATATAGCATTAAAGCCATTAGCTATGTCTCATTTGTAAGAACCACTTACATCATAGCAATAGTTTGCATCAGAAGAGTAAACATGCCCCTTTTTTATTTATTTAAATTTCTTGTTTAGGATAGCTGCAGGACTAAAGTTGCAAAATATCACTCTATCAAGCATGGTAAGCAAAGAAGCCAGACCCTCTGTACTTGCATTGCATTCTTGGTTTATATCAAATTGTTCAATATTTCATTTTTTCTTCAATGTTTCAAATGCTATTTGTTTCTAGCATATGGGCCTTAATATCCCTTGATTATTTTTTGGTTTGTTTTCCCACTGGTACTTGGATAAACTTTGCTGTGGAAAGCTTTTTTTGTAGGTGATTCAGGGTGACAGATCATGACATGGGTGTTGTGTTAGTTGGTGTATCAGTCTGTCAAAATTTGCACGTCATGACCAGCTGAAGAGCCAAAATGCTCACCTGCCTCTTACACAGTGGTGGAAGAGATGGAGAGCTGTGAGCAGCTTGGTTTGTCAGTAGGTCCCAAAAACAAGCAGTAAGTGGATTTTGCAAGACTGATACGTATTAGAATTTTCACATAGTCATTATGAAATTTTATTTAAAACAAATCTCGGAACAAGATTTCAAAACATAACAGCTAGCCATTTCAGATAAACTTGCCTTGTAAGCTTGGCGAGTGTCAAGGCCTGTGATGTTAAAAGTTAAGAAGCAAGCTCGAGTAGTCTAAGGGTACCTTACAGCTTCCAGAAATGGATTTAGTAAAATTCTGTCGCATGTTAATTTCTGTATATGAGATTTAATGAAAAAATCACAGTTTTTGCTTCCATCTTTTATCTATTTTTCTTAAGGCTACTTCCCTTCCCTCCCCTGATTTGTTTTTTTTGTTTTTTGTTTTTTACTGTGTTCATCAGATTTTACCGCAGGTAGTATCTGAGGGACCAAATTAATTTAAAATGGGTCCATAAATTATCCCACCTATTATAAAGGATTACTAAGCTATTCCTGTGAGGAGCTGTTGATGGGAACAGATGTATAGTAAAACTTTGTGTCTGTACAGTAAAATCTTGCCCTACATTTTAGCTTGTGCATAATGAGCAAAGTGATGAGATCAAGTTATATTAACCAGTTACTTGGCTGTGAGCTCCCAGTGTTTTAACAGTCAGTGAGATGTCAGCAGTTTGGAGTATCTTTGCATTCTGATAGAACTCTTTAAAGCAATTTAAATTTTGACACTTGAAAAGATGGTTAATCACTCCTTAAAATGTGGCATAGAATTCACACGAGTTTTTGGTTTTAGGGGGTAAAATGGTCGGGAAAGATTTATGTTGAGGAGCATCTCCTAGTGACTCTATGGTGCTTTGTCATGGAAACTTCCTTACAAATCAGTAGTAGATCCTGTGTGTTTGAGTCCTCGTCCTCCCCAGAACTAATCACAAAACAAAAAAATAGTATGAATGAAGCAACCTTTTACCTTTTGTTCTAAAATAAGGATGACTTGGGAGTGACAGAAATACTGGCTATTGACACTGTTCTTTCTGTTCAGGCAGTTATTATTGTTGTGCTAGACTTCCATGTTATTAGTTTATGAAAATGCAAGTAGTAAAAACTTTGTGGCTTCAAGTATACAGTAGATGTGTGTTAACAATCACTCAGGATAAACCAACTTGTCCAAGTATTAATAGATTCCTAGTATTGGGGTGTGTCTGTGTGTTTTTGTGTGCCAGTGTTCAATGATTACTTTGAAACAAATTCTTACTGTTTTCTTGCAGATAGTGAATACTTTTGGGATGGATATTACTAGCTGGTTACTGATGGAAAAATACCATATGGTTAAATAAAATTGAGTAATTTAACATTTTTTTCCATAGCAAAGATTCCAGGAAAAAGCTAATAGAGATTTTTTAATAATTAAATCAGATACTCTTAATACATTTTAGATTTACTATGGTAGCTTTTATTTGCTATAAAAAAACCCTAACAACTAAATTGAGGTACCCCATGCTGCATTTTTTAAATTTGTAATTCCTGTACTTTACAATGAATCTTTTGATCTGTTTGTGTCCTTGTAAGAATACAGGATATGCCGTCAATTTTACTAGCATAAAGAAACGTTCTGCAAGAGTTAAAAGGTTATTTTCTTACTTTTTTCTGTCATACCAGGTTTGTTTCTCTGAACTAAGGTTTCTGAGGATTTTTACTACTTTAGCATTATGTAATCTTTGTCACAGAAGGAGCATAAGCAGCGAGTAGCCCACTTCTTGTGGACAAACAGGCGAGAGGACGTGGCGTGGTGGTGTGTCCCCTCCTCACCAGGACGGCTCTGCCTGCTGGGACCGACCCCGGGCAGTCAAGATCCGGTTCTGGTGAAGGACGAAACCAAATGGGTTTTTACCAACCGCGACCTCTGCTGTGTGATGTCCTTTAACCTGGGACCAGGGGAAAATCTTCATTCTTAGACCTGAAGATGGCACGTATTGAAGATCATGTTATTGGTGCATGTAAGCCATTATCTTAACTGTCTTACTGAGCTGGTTAATGCTGTTGACTGTTGTTGAAATGTGAAATGTAGTTACTATTGACTTTGTAAATACCTGCCAGAGATGAAATATAATTATTTTAAATCATTGTAAATAGAGATGTATAAAACTCAACACAATCTGCAATGCAGAAAACAAATATATATATATAAATATATAAAGATGTTAAATAAATATTGTGCTGTTTCTGAACAGAAATGAATACTTTGTGAATTGCTTTTATTTTTGGTTTTAAACTTTGCCGTACGCTGGTGGGGCGGGTGAGGCCGGGAATGCTCACAGGCCGCCCCCGGGCGGGCACCACGGACAGGCGGGAGCAGCTGCCGGGGGTTGCGTGTGCGAGTTCGCTGTGCCTCGGGGCGTCCCCCGGTACCTGCCGCCGCCCGGGGGTTTCTCCGAAGAAGCGGGGGCCGGTGCCAGGCCCGGGCCCTTCCCGCCAGGCTCTAACGGCGGCTTCACGTCGCCACGGCAACCCCGGCCGCCCGCCCAGCGGCTGCGCGCTTCGCCGGCAGCGGAAGTCCCGCCCTCTCGCCGCTCCCGCCCGACGGGAGGCGGGGCGGAAAAGAAGGTCGCGGATTGGCCGAGGCATAGGTCAGTCAGGGCGCGGCGGCGGCGGTGTTCAGTGCTGCCCGCCCTCAGCCTCGGGGAGCGGTGTCGCCCGTTGTCTGGCACGTGAGCCCGCTCCCGCCTCCTGCCGCCGC